CTATGGGACGAAGTGGTAGTGAAGTGAAATTTTGAGGATTTGAGGATGAGATCCAACTTTGTGAGAGGGCGTGTGTAGACGACGGCTTCTATCCGTGTTAGCATTGTTGTCAATTTTCTGTACGAAAGTTTTTTACGACCTATTGTCTTGGAAATGCATTCCTTCACAGTTCCTACAAATCTTTCCCATGCTCCGTCCATCCTGGAAGCCGCGCTGGGTTAAATGTTCATTTGATGCCCTTTCTGGCTGAATACGACATGAATGAATGCCCAGTTTTTGGGTGTTCTGGAAGAAATGGTCAATCGCCTTCTTGCCCACGACAAATTTGGTACCGCAATCAGATCTAATTATTGCACGGACTCCACGGCGGCTCATAAAGCGTAAGAAGCTTTCAAGAAAAGCTGACGCGGAGAGGCTGTCGACAAGTTCTAGGTGGATAGCGCGTGTTGTCAAACAGATGTATAGTGCTGTGTACGCTCTTCATTGTTGTCCGGCGTGAAAGAACCTATGTAGTCGCAACCGACATGTTATAATGGTTTGCAGATAACGGAGCGGTCTCCTGGTAGAGGCGCCATCGGTGGACGAAGGAATTGAAGCCCATATTCCTTTCGCATACTTCGCACTTTCTTTATCTTTATTCGGTACGTTATTTAAGACAACGTTTGAAATGTAACAATCAACACAACACAAACAAACAAGACAACACTGGGCGAGAGAACAAGTGAAAGTGGCAACTATGCTTGAAGGATGTGCGCTGCTATAGAACGTTTGAATGAAGCCAGAGAGCAGGAGAGAGAGGAAGCTCGGCTGGCCTTCAAAAATGCAAGACCAGCTCTCACTGTAAAGAAATTCCGCCTAATCGTCGTCTTCGGTCTTGGAAAGGAGATTTTGAGTTGATCACCTCTAGTTTTCGACGGTATAAGCGTATAGAAAGAGGAAAAAGCAGCACCACATTTACGGTTTAATAGCTTGTGTAGCATACCTAAGTCGAAAAAATTACGCCTAGACTGAAGGGTGGGCAGTCCAAGATATTTAGTCC